CTAAAAGCTTCAGTGATCCAAAACCAAACATTACACTTTGTCAGTGACTAAGCCAACAGTGTGTGCTTATGGAAATGTTTTACTTAAAAACTATCTCAAAGAGGTAATGACACAGACTTGTGGATGATCATGCAAAATCCAGATATTCAGCTAAATAATAAAGCACCATTCTCCAATGGCACATCTTCACACAACTACAACACTAACCATGAGCGGGCTGAACTTTGACTCCCACACGCCGATGTTGAAGTCTAACGGGGCTGATACTTGAAGAAGTCCTGCTCTATTATGAACTGCCATGCTGGGTACACTAAGCTCTTGTCCAGGGCCATGTGGTGGAATTTTATAAACCAAACCAAAATGGTTCAAACAAAGACAACTGAGCTCCAACTGTCTATCCGTCAATCTTTTGTCTTGTATGTAGAGTTGGTTTACCTGGCCAACAGCTTAAAGGTGCAGTATAAGATGTTTTACTGGAGCATTTTTGGTATTTTGCTTGAACAAAAACGGTTATGTCAAAGAAAACAAATCATTTTTATTTCCTCTGAAATCAACATTCTCACGCCCGAAGCGGCTGAAACTGACGAAGGGTGGCCAAGCGTTTGTTTCCGTCACGTTGGGAGCCCCAACGCATCGGGAGGCGACACGCTGTGCCAGAGCGTCGCTTTCCGACGCCTGCGATAAAACGGAGGTAATAGTGAATTGTGACCTTTACCCTCCTGCAATTTAATCTTCCCCTCACCTCCATCCTAACCTTAACCCACTTGCGTATGCAAAATTTTGTTTCTCGTTGTATCGTCCATCTCAAACACAGTTAACGGGAAATTTAGAACGAGAAACTGGGTTAAGGTTAGGATTGTCGTGGCCTGTGCTGAGTTGACTTCTGTTTTGTGCTGAGTCCTTCTGTGTGCAGGTGGGTGTGTCCGGACAGCAGCTGCTGTAGATCTGCTCATCAGTAGTCAGGGGATTTAAGGAGTGTCGGGACAACTCATCAGTGCCGGATGATACTCAGTATAGGGCAGTATTCTCGCCAGTACTTTACCTGTCTCTAGCTCGTTTTGGTCTCCTGTGTACCTCGCTTCCCTCATACTGATCTGCCCTGTTTCCTCCGACCTCCTCAGGTACCTCTCGTCCACCAGTCTACTTCCATCATCAAAGTAATAGACTCATCGGATCAACCCTGCCTGCCAGCCCCGTCGCTCACCCCTGACCACCTGCTCTCCAACCCTCACCTGCCAACCTGGACACCTTGGACTCTGGTGCTCAGCTCCCAGCCATTGCCTCTGCCTCTCACCTGACCAGCTCAGCCAGCCTTGACTTACCCTCCTCTCATGCTCCCCCAACAACCAGGAAACCGTAAGCCAACTCCCTTTACGCTTTGTGCCCGCTGATCTGCAACTACTCACTCTTGTTTCTGCTTCAGAACTCCATCGGAACCACCTGAACCCTGACTTTCATCTACACCTCTACCCAACAAAAATAAATCATTTCTTTTCTTACCTTCTGCCTCTCGTGTGATTCTGCATGTCGCGGGTCAAAAAACTCCAACCCAACATGACAAGGATAGGGGGTAGAGGAAGGTTAAAAATCTAGAGTTTAGAGGTTAAATGTTGGTGAAATGTCCGTTTTACCGCGGGAGTCAGAAAACCTTCCGACGCTTTGGGGCTCCCAACGCGTCGGAAACAAACGTTTTGTCAGTTTCAGCCGCTTCGGGTGTGAGAATGTGTTGCTGAAACATACAATCCTGGAAAAACTTTGTCCCATCAATGTGCACATCTTGTTCTTAATAACTGGATTATAATCCATCCGTCAAACTTCTCTTCTAAAAAATGGACCCAGAGATTATTTGTGTGATATGCTTCTCAGCTACTAGATGGTGCCATCGGATAAGAAAAATACACCGGAAATAGACTTTAAGCAAAGTTTCACCAGTTCCCATCCTCCTCCTGGTGGGACTTGTCTGAAACACCTTTTTAATGCTCGAACAACCTTAAATGGCTACTTTGATGTGAAGGACCAGCAACTACTACGAGCTTCAGAATAGCTGAACTCCTCAGGGTGACTCCCACCTATCTGCTAATCTCATTCTCTCGGTCATAAACCAAAGCTCATGACCATAGGGGAGGGTTGGAGTGTAGATCAATAGATGAATTGACAGACTTGATCCTCTCAGAGTTAGAGGTCCATTTCTTATTGAAGACTTGGAAGTGTTGATCTTCATCCCAGCTGCTTAAAGGAGACATAACATGAAAAACCCACTTTTTTATCCATTAACACGGTGTGTTTCACATTTTAAGTGTCTAAGTGAGCAAAAAGGCTTATATTATTCACTGGAGTTGCTATTTAGATATTTAATAATTAAGTTTTGGGCATATTTGTCCACCCATTCACTTTTTACATTATCTGTTACATCAGTAATTAATTTAGTGAGGATAACTACCAAATATGGTAATGGCCCTCGGCTAAACACAGAGCCAATCCGCCATTTTTTCTTCTCGCTAAGATTTTTTGTAGTCCTATTGGAAAAATGCAGAATGTCTGGTTATTTTAGCCACACACAGCTCAAAACTGTTCCTCGTTTTAAGGAAGGGTGGTGTGGCAGTATTTAAACCCAGGAGCTGATGACACTACTGCTAAAAAAACACAGAAGAAAAAGTAGTGTGTTTGTGTGTGTGTGTGTGTGTGTGTGTGTGTGTGTGTGTGTGTGTGTGTGTGCGTGCGCGCGTGGTTCGTTCGTTCTGTCTCCAGGCTAGTGGCTAAGTACTGAGGGCTTCATCTATCTAAAAGGAGTTATTTCCATCTGAATTTGGCAGCACCGGGACACAGCAGCAGAGCGGTAAGCATCATATCACTCTAAAATGTCGACAAACTTTACTTTAGATTTACGGGCATTAGCAGCACTAAAGCGTTAGCATCCGGCTTGCTATCGCTAGCACAGTATGCTAGTAAAGTTAGCACCCAGATTAATGTGGATTTGGCTGATTTTCGTGGAATAAAACGTGATTTCTGATCAACGCCTTCTTTTACACCAGATGATAACCTCCCACTGATTGTAACAGCAGAGAGCCTGTGTGTTATTCTACATGAGTGTGATGTAATCTTAGCATCCAGTAAATAAAGTCCCATATCAGCTAAAATGCAGCGTGACAGTCATTAAAGTGCGTCAACACAGTGGATTTAATAGAGTTTTAAAGAACGATCTCTGAGTGGAGTGAGGTTAGTTTTTTGTCTCACTGCAGATATAAAAACTAACTCTGCATCAGTCAGACGCAGCAAAGCTCACCGTCTGTATGAGCGTGAGCGTCGGAAAGCTGATAAAATCGGCTGTAAAATAATTAAAACAAAGTAAAAATGTTCCTTTGCTTTTTAGAGTCCACATCCAGAAGACTGGAGCCGTGTTTCACTGACAGGCTGTCAGACTAACGCCCTGATGAGCTCAGCTGGGACAAACTGGTCTGATGTTTAGGTAAGTGAAGATCTGCTTCTCCAAGTCCTTGAGATGCTAGTAAAAAATAATTTAGCCAGCTTGCTAATGTTACTTTTCTTCTCCTCTAAGGAACACAGAACGTTCAGATGTTGGCGTTTCACGTCACCTACTGAGGAAGGAGACCCACCAGTAAAGAGACGGTCTGGACCAGACCAAAGTGAGTGATGACACACCTCAGCCACCCTCATCATTAAGAACACCTCACCCCCTGAATCACTCCGTCTGATGACAGCAGAGTGATTTATTTGATGTTTTACTTGTTTAGTCTGTTTAGAAATTATTGAATTACATTATTTTCTGTAATCGACCATCTGATCTGGATGTGTGCAGAATAACTTTCCCCAAGTTCAGCAGCAGCTGGCCTACAAAAACAGCTGCAGCATGTAGTAAGTCTGTCTGCACTGCTCTCTAATGAGCTTCCTTTCATAAGGAGTCATTTGTATAATTTTAGTGTCACTATTTTATTACATTTGTAAGAATATGAAGTCACTGTAGCAAAGTGAACTTGTGAACAAACACAAACGTGACTATAAACATGAAAGCTAAAGAAACAACTTTCCTAAAGCTGCTTGTAAACAAAATATGTCATTAAAGTTATTGTCTATCATTGCAGAATATGGCGATGACATCATGGAACTGGTCTTTGGAAAAGTTTTCCCTGAACCAACTCCGTTTCTAGATGAGGTAGAGAAGATCTGCATCTCACCAACCCTCTGGTCTCAGTATTCAGACAACGGAGGTCTCCCACTGTTATCCAGGACCAGTTTGAAGCCCACATACTGCCCCTCCCTCATCATCAGGAAACATCAATCCGTTTCCTGAGGACAACAGAAGACGGCAGGAGGACAGGAACTCTGAGACCTAGACACCACCAGCACCGAGACACAAAGCACCTGTGTGCACAACGCCTGTTTAACTACTAAAGCCTGATTATTATATTGTTCTACTTATTTGCTGTGAGGTTAATACTTAGAAAATTTGTATATTAATGTAAACAATAAAAAAAAATCACTGATTGTATGCTTTCTTTTAGATGTAATGGTCCAAACTCAGCCTTGTAGACATTTATTGCATCCTGTAGGTAAATACACAGAACAGGCTCAGGTCCAGGATGACCCAACATGCTCTTCTTCCATTCTGGCTGTTAGGGATTGTATCAATAACTCAATGCCTACTGATGTTTCCACCTAACGGTATTTATTTAGAATGCAGGTAAGATTTAACTATATTTGTTAGCAAAGCAGACTGATCTTGGGAATTTCACTGCAGCACTGATGTCCACCTCTCTGTACACATTAGAGAGAATTACCACTTTACAGCTAAACACATTTAATAAAGATATAGGCTACGCATTGCAGACAATAAAAACAAAGTTGTAAGCATTAGAATTATAATGATGACATTAAAGAACACTTGGAGGAATGTTCTTTATTTTTGACTAGAATCTCAAATCTTTAAATTAAAATGTAACTGCTTTTTATCCATTTTCAGCCATTAAGACACCCAATATAAAATAAGACTACTTATAAAATTATTTATAATTATATGTATGTATATAGATAGAGATCTTAATAAAATATATTCTTTGAATGGTGTTTTAATGAGCTGTATCATTTTTTTAAACATTTTTTTACAGAAATAAGCAAGCAGCATTCCTTGTGTGTGTGTGTGTGTGTGTGTGTGCCTGCTCGCTTGTCCCTCCGTCGGCCGTGACGGGTGTGTGTGAGTGACTACAGACAAATGCATGAGAGAGTTAGCAGCCATGAAACAGCTTGATGAACTACTCTCCCCACGTGTTTTAAAAATGCTAATATGCTATGCTAAATAATGATTTCTCTATAGAACTACAAAGTCCGACTGGGGGAGGAGAGTACAGGTCTGCACTATGGAGGGGGGGCGGAGTTTACAGCTCCTCCTCCAGTTTAAAGAGACAGTACCCCAAAACGGCTCGTTCTCAAGACTCTCCTCAGAACAGGGGTAGATGAGGGTCTGTAGAGCAACAATAATGAGGAAATCAGACCAAAGAACTGCAGTTCCACTGTTTTTAGACCCCCAACTGAAGGATTTAGATGTAAAAAGGAATAACTTAAAAGCATGTTATGTCTCCTTTAACACTCTTGTGCAAACAGTTCCAAGTCCAGGTCCAGGGCTTGATGAGGCTAACGGGACAACATCCACTGCAAAATGCAGAGATGCATTCTGATTCTCCCGAGCCAAAGACCTCTGCCACTTGGCTGTGGTCAGAAATTCTGTCCTTGAAAGTCATGAACAGAATCTGTGACAAAGGGCAACGCTGGTGAACTCTAATGCTCACTCCAAATAAAAAAGGGGTCCAAAGCTGAGCCCCCAAAGTAGGGTTGTCACGATACAAAAATTTGAAACTCGATTCGATACTGGGGGGAAAACTCGATACTCGATTTCGATACTATTTAAAAACACCAATTTATTGAACAAGTTTATTCAAAAAATAACATTCCTCAATTTATATTGCAAAAATTAAATGTTAAAAATTAAGTGTATAAAGTGCTTAAACCTTCAAGTATCAGCATTTTTTAAAAAGTGCATACAAAAACTGGAGAAAGTTAACACTTTAAATCATGAATTGTCTCACTATATATACATTATTTGCAGAGTGATGTTTTGCTGCTTAAACTCTGTTTAAGGTGCATTTTTGTCATAAGATGTAATGCCACATGTTTTGTTCTGTACTTTTGAACAACTCTTGTTGGTCAATAAAGGCAGAAAATGAATTTCTCCACAGTAGGACAAAGGTACATCTACCGGTAATCTTAATAAAAACAGATTGGCGCACGGCAGTGACGTCATTAAAAGCGCCGGTTAGATTAGCCGCGGCTAGTCTGTTTACACCTAGAAATCCCAGACTCACTCCAAACAAACAGGGGAATCATGTTAATGATTCCTAACAAAACCTTTCGACATTAAGATGTTTTGGTGCAGATAATGTCTTATTTTGAGGCAGCACCATGGGTGCCCGTCCGCACCCGTTATATGGATATACACTGATCGCGATTCGCCAATGGATCTAAGTACCCCGGGGAATCCAAGTAGCACCAAAGTTGTCAGCGAGAGTAAACAAACGTACTGCATGCTAGAGATTAAGTCCGGGTTGCAATAAACAGGAGTTTTCCTTTAAGCATATAAGCGTGAATATACAACTACGTGTCGGACTTGGTATGCAAATTAAGTTGGGCTGTGAAGCGCCACCCATATTCGCTGTTGCCATTGTTAACAAAACTTGGATCGGAGACACCTCGCGTGGGAAATTGCAATGTAGCCATGCAGCGTCTTCTTCTTCTGTTTGTCTGGGAGGCAGAGGCTGCTTTACAGCATCTGGCTGTCGTGCGTGTCGGTGTACTTGAAGAAGGCTGTGTATATGTGAGACTCCATAATATAGATACCACAGGGATGGAATATCTAATTTAGATACCACTTTTAGTATCGATTTATATCTAGATATTGATTTTTTTGACAACACTACCCCAAAGTACCTCCCACAGGACACCTTGGGAGACACAATTGTCTCCTAGTCATCCTTGGTAGGGGCAGTGTGATAGGCAAGTGTGAGGTGATCTGATGTTTGCCCGACACAAAAGTAAGACAAGGTGAACAGTATGTCACGTAAAGCGCAACACAGCACAACAATGGCAGACACGATGCCCGTTTCCACTATCGAAACTTCAGGGTAATTTTACTGGAACTTTGCGTGTCTCCACTTCATTGTGCCGGCCGAAAGAATAATTTATTTGAGCTGGGGTAGGTACTCTGAATGGCCAGGTAGTCGCTGAGTAGACCTTTTGGTTTACTCATGCTGATTGGTTGTAATACATAGGAAATTACATCGGCATACCAAAACAACTGAAATTTGTAAAAAAAAAAAAAAAAAAAAAATTGGGTTGCTGGTAAAACAAAATAGAAGAGAAAGAAAAGAAGCATCATTGACACTGCTTTAAAATAGCCTAACCCTAAACTCCCAATGGCAAAAAAATCAGAAATGCCTATATCAGTATGATATAATCCACAACACTTTGTTACTTAAAACAATATTAAAAACGATGCTTATGCTGGTCATTGAACGCCACATTTTACATCCCACAGCTGCTCTCCCATTCCCTTAAATAGATTAAATTATGCCGTACTTCGACAGAAGGCGCTGACCAGTGACATCACTCACTGCAGAGGGCAGAGGCAGACATGATATGCTGAAATCTTAGCGAAGTCCTGAAAGGGCTGAATTTGAATGGAGACAGCAACTGACAGGACCCAGCTATCGTTTATCCCGGACAATTTTCCCCTCCCAGAAATTTCCCAGAACTCCTGTATTGGGAAACATGGCGGTGGTGGTGGTGATGTTTAATATTCTGCTTATTTTCTGTTATTATTATTATTTTTTGTTATCCTAGAAGAAGAAGAAGAAGAAGAAGAAGAAGAAGAAGAAGAAGAAGAAGAAGAAGAAGAAAATATCATTTCTATAGCACCTCTCAAGAAAAAAATCTCGAGGCGCTTCCCAAAAACAAAAAATGTAAAAATTTAAAAAAGCATTTAGAAAATGTTTAAAAATATATTTAAAATGAGCAAAAATAGGCAATTGTGATTAAAATGTTAAGAAAGAGAGAGAGAGAATAGGAAAGAGAAAAATCATTTAGTAAACAGGTGAGTGTTCAAATAAAAACAAGTGTGACTTTAATCTGTCCCTCCTCATGTCACCATCTACAGAAACAGCCTTCTGGGACACCTGACCAACCAGGTGGATTTTATTTGTGACGTTTCCATAACTTTATAAAAGCTGCTGTTGAAGATGATCAGATCATCTCGTCCTTTCGGTTCTCTGCTCTCCCGTCGCGGTCTGCACCGTTTCTTTCTGACGCAGCAAAGCTGGTTTACCTCTAATAGCGATTTTTGGAGTAACATGAATTACATCATGTAATACCTCATTGGAAAGCTCGTTTTATGTACTTTTAGAAACCGTTTGAAGCATTTTTATTCGATTAGCAATACAGACGTTATGACCCGGAGAATCTAGAGTGAGACATTGATTCTTTGAGTTTCTGCAACACTTCAGGAGAAATCTCCCTCATGTCTCATTTTCTGTCCCAGACATGCAGCTACCTGACTCTGCTCCACACACACTAACCACGGACTCAAACGTGCGTAAACAAAAGCTCTGATATTAAAATCTATCCAGCTGACGTGAAGAAGGCAGAAAAAAAAAACTTACAGTTAGATGAACGCAGACTCCTCTCCGCTGGGAAAACACCGGTCTGTCGTCTCCATGGCTACAAGGTAGAGCGACAGCAAGGACAACCAATCACACGTTAGTATGACGCGGCAGAGCCAATCAGTGAGCTTGTAGGCAGGTCTAAGGGAAAATAGCCTTCAGCTTGAGGCGGCTGCCTCCGCATGGTCCTAGTGCCCGATTTGTATCACAGTATAACAGTTTTGTACGGTAAAATCTGACGAACGACCGGAAAAAGGGCACTTTGGGCACTTCGGACAAAAGGGGCAGGGTCTCAAGCACCCTCCGCACCCCCCTCTGCATGTGCCTGGTCTTCAGCTGCTTTTTGAAGGAGACCACTGAGTCCACTGATCTCAGGCTCAGGGGGAGAGAGGTCCAGAGTCTGGGGGCCACAGCAGCAGATGATCTGTTACCTTTGGTCTTTAGCCTGGTGCTGCACAACCAGTAGGCTTTGATCACTGGACCTCAGGGACCTGCTGGGGGTGTAGGGACTAAGAAGATCACCAATGTAAGATGGTGCTTGTCCATGTAAGGCCCTATAGACCAGAACCAGGATCTTGAAATGAACCCTGAAGTTGACTGGCAGCCAGTGAAGATGGAGGAGAAGCGGGGTGATGTGGGTGTGTTTGGAGGATTTGGTCAGAAGCCGAGCACAGGCATTCTGAACCACCTGTAGACGGTTCAGGGAGGTTCTGCACAGACACGTGAAAAGAGAGTTACAGTAGTCTAAGCGTGAGGAGATGAAGGTGTGGAGAACAGTCTCAAATTCAGAGCCGGACAGAATGGGACTCAGCTTAGCAATGTTCCTGAGATGGAAGAAGGAAGAGCGAACAAGAGAACTGACATGATAATCCAGGGTGAGAGCTGGGTCAAAGGTCACGCCAAGATTCCTGACAGAAGGTTTGGTGTGGGAAGCAAGCTGACCAAGAGTCTCTGACTTTGGGAACCAGCTTGTCTGGGGCACAGATGAGGATCTCAGTCTTATCTTCATTCAGCTGAAGAAAGCTCCCAGCCATCCAGGTTTTGATGGAGTCTAAGAAGGTGTGTAACAGCTGCAGCTTAGACATCTCATGGGGCTTAAAGGAGATGTACAGTTGGATGTCATCTGCATAAAGATGGTAGGAGATTTCTTTGAAGGAGCTCAGGATGTGCTGAAGAAGAAGAAGATAGAGGAGGAAGAGCAGAGGCCCCAGCACAGAACCTTGTGGGACACCATGGGTAAGAGAGGTGGTGGAGGACCTAAACTTGGAGACGGCCACAGAAAAGGAGCGCTCAGAGAGATAAGAGGAGAACCACTCCAGAGCAGAGCCTGATAGGCCTACCCAGTCTCTGAGCCTCTCCAGTAGCAGGTGATGGTCAACAGTGTCAAAGGCTGCAGTCAGGTCCTGCAGGACCAGAACAGAACAGTCCCCTGCATCACTGTGAGTCAGAAGGTCATTAGAGACCCTAAGAAGAGCTGTTTCAGTAGAATGAGCTCTATGAAAACCTGACAAGAATCTAGACCATTAAGTTTGCAGAAACAAAATGATCAGTCTAGCCATGATACAGTGGAACTAAAGCAGCCACGGACATCTATTGCCGGTCCAATCACAGCGCTCTATCAGCCAGGTGGGCGGGATGTTACTGCGACTGAGCAAAACTAAGATGGCAATGGCTCCGTAGCGGTCCAATCATGGCACTCTATTGGTTTGGTGGGCCAATCACAGCACTCTGTTTGCGGGCGTGAAATTACTGAAAAAGCAAAGATGGCGACAGCTCATTAGAAATGGCTTTGGTGTTAAGTTAGGACAATTTTGACCTGGGCTTTTTTTCTTTTTTTTTTTTTGAGTCAAGAGCAGATAGGTTTATTCAGAAAAAGAATGTGTTTGTATCTTCTTGACGAAGTATGGCGGACTGCCTCATTGACTGACAGCTGTAGCGGTGAGTACATCACGTTGTTTGTTATCCAATAGCATGCAGAGACAGTTTAAATACAGCCATAGATCTCGCCCCACGACTGAGAATCGTCAATGGACCGTGGCCAGACTATATATTCACATTTATGGGATGGCTTGCCAGGCTAGCTTTTTGTGGGACTATGAATCCAGAAATGGTTGTAGGCAGCAAAGAAAACACTGGAGCAACCAGCACTCTATCTGCTTTGTGGGCCAATCAAGGCGCTCTACCGGTTTGGTGGGCGGGATGATGCAACGGAGTGGAACAACATGGCGACAGTTTGTTTGAAACAGTTTTTACATCTATTTTGGATTATTTGGACATGGGCTTTATTAGAATCAGGAGTAGATATATGTATTTAAGTTCTTTTTTAGAAAATAGGATGTATTTTCACCTTCTTCAATTGCGGACCGCCTTGTTTACAGACATCCATCGAGGTGAGTAAAGCCTGGTTTATGCTTCTCCGTCAGCTCCGCAAGGGACAGACACGCACAGATTGACGGAAGCATTTTGCTTTCATACTTCTCCGTCTCCTGGAGAGTGTTGCAAAGCAATTGCCCGGCAGGACAACAGAGGGCGTAGCGCTGTTCTGTGGTATCCTGTCATGTATCGGTCCAAGAGAGTGTGTTTATATTATGTTTTTTGTGTATATAAGAGACTTTTAACATGGACATATTTGTCTCTCATTCTCCCATCTCTTCATGCGCTCCCCACCTCTAAACCCACGTTTCCTGTCATTTCCGTCCACAAATAAAACGCTTTTCACTCCTCCAGTCACGGGAGAATTAAACGTTCATATTTTTAGAGTTTTTTCGCGAGGTGTTCTTCAAGCTTCTCCGTGTCTGCCGCTAGTTATCCTCGGCTCTCTTTGCAATGGCGGCGCTGTAAACAACAGCGGCGTCCTGACCAATCACAAGCTTGCGTAATCCGTCTCGTTCGACGGATGTTTAAAAAAGTGGGCTCGACTCCGTACGTACTTGCGTGCCTGCCGGAGCCCTACGCAAGGACGGATGATGGCGTTGCGTGTCTCCGCACTGACGCAGACGGAGAAGCATAAATCAGGCTTAAGTCACATTGTTCATTCCCCAGTAGCATGCGGCGGTCGTTTGAAAGAAAATGGTAGAACCCGCCCCACGACCGGGAGCTGTCAGTGGAGCGTTGCCAGACTAAATAATATATTTAGTAAATATATTTATTTAGTCTGGCTTGCCAGGTTAGCAAATCCCCAATTAGCAAGCTAAAAGCACCTCCCCTCCCCTCCCTTTTGAGTGGTCATCAGGGCCTTTAATGTTCTTATCCACATGAAAGATGCTTTGGTCACGAGCATGAGGATGTTAATTGGTCTGAGACCACTGAGATTCAAAGCTGTAGATAGATCATTTGCTGCTGTGGCCCCAGACTCTGGAACTCTCTCCACCTGAGCCTGAGATCAGTGGACTCAGTGGTCTCCTTTAAAAAGCAACTGAAAACTCACCTGTTCAAGCTGGTTTTGGTGTGACCTTTATCACCCTCCTTGTTCTGCTCTCCCTACCTATTCCACCTTCCCCAGGATCCACTGATTTCCCTCTTTCCTGTTCACTCTCTTTTGTAACTTTTTTTAATCACAATTGTCAATTTTTTGCCCATTTTAAATATATTTTTTATCATTTTCTAAATTCTTTTTTATATTTTTACACTTTTTGTTTTTGTGAAGCGCCTCGTGATTTTTATCTTGAGAGGCGCTATATAAGTGATATTTTCTTCTTCTTCTGAATAACTTGTGCTGGGAAGTTGAAACTTGAGACGACCAGCTTTGTTTAATGTCGACTTTAATCACTGTTACACATCCACAGCTTATTTTATACTTCTCCCTATTTTCTTAATAAAAACATTTGTGTCCTCAGAAAGCGTGTCCCTTGTTCGGATGAAGGTGGACATAGAAGTCCCAATTAAGATGTCCTGCATTTAAACTACAGAAAGTTATGTTTTAAACCAAAAACCAAACGTCGTGTGTAAATCATACTGTCAGTTGAATCCCACCACCTCTCACTACTCACAATCTAAATCAGCTCAGATGTGTGGGACGGATCCAAAATGGCTTAACACGTGTGGGGCTTGGCTGGTCCCTGTTGGTATCAGCTGGTGAGAATGGAAAATTACAAGAGGTGCATGAGCCAGGAAAATAAGGACATGGCTGTTCAAGGAACCCAGCCAGAAAAAGTCTGAGCTTTCTTAACTACAGGGAAGAGTGAGGCTGTGGTAACAACATGCATATATGAGTAATGGGGAGTGGATGTAAGGCGAGCAGCAGGGGAGGGAGAATCAGCTGAGAGGTGTTGTGTTTGCACTGGTTCACTCTATGGGAGGTGCTGAAGTGCATGAGCAGGAGGGTACAGCTGGTAACAAGGCAGGAAATTTAATCTGCTGTCAAAAATTATAAATATAAACAAACTAAAATGGTCGACTGTTTAGAAATGATTTTAAAAAAAGGAGTTTGAGTCTCTCAATTAATTAATTGAGACTCTAGACTAAATGACTATGTTTATTCACTTAGCAGACGCTTTTATCCAAAGCGACTTACAATTTATAACCTATAGGGCATGTTGTGATCTGTGGGGGAAACCGGAGTACCCGGAGGAAACCCACGCATGCATGGGGAGAACACGCAACTCCACGCAGAAAGGCCGCAGCCGAGCAGACATTCGAACCTGCAACCCTCGTGCTGCGAGGCAACAGTGCTAACCACTGCGTCACCATGCAGCCCACAGTGAACACAGATCACTAAAGGGGAACAGTAGTTATGGTATAGCGCTTAGCTAAAGTGTTGCTACATAATAACAACTGAGATCGACGCTGTGTTGAAAATCTTTTTTTTTTCATAGCTTCTGAGATTTGCCCTCGGCAAAACAAAGAGTCAAGAAAAATCTGAAGTTTCTATAATATAATAATCATATCTTTAGTCAGATTTTTTCTGTGATTAAGCAATTATACTGCAGGATGTTTCCTCACACACACACACACACACACACACACACACACACACACACACACACACACACACACACACACACACACACACACACACACACACACACACACACACACACACACACACACACACACACACACACACACAGAGGGTTATAGTAAGAGATTATCTGTGGGTGTAGCAAAAAAACAAGCAGCCATAATTCTGCCCATAGTGGTCCAACCTGCTGAACTCCAGCTGGTGGCTTCTATTCATAGAGAGACATGTTTGTTTTGTTTATTTTAGAAACCTGGCAGGGATCATTAAAAAATATGGTTGTAACAAATTTTACTCACAAGAAGAAAGGGCTTCATTTTTCTAAGCTGATGATGAATTTAAACACAGAACAAAAATAAGGGTACGAAAGAAAAAATAACCCACAGAAAACATGAAGATATTTAGCTGTTCCTTCAGTGTTTACATCTAAATCTAGAAGACAAACACCTTCTGTGTGAAGCCACCCATTATTTATAGGACGAAGAGAGACGGGCCAGACCTGAACCCCACTGAGCTGCATTTAACTTGCTGATGAGGAAGAAAGACACCCCCACAAAATAAACAACTGCTGGTGAAAACTGAGCATCACAAAGGATTAATTTCAAAGATTGCACAAGAATATACACCTAAACACACACTTTTATTCACTATAATCACCAGCGTCTAAACAGAATTAGATATACCTGGAAATATTAAAAACCATGACCTTTTGCTCTTTAATTGTGCAGAATAACAAAAACAAAACAAAGTACCAGCTGTTTTATTAGTTTTGGAGGGGACTTCATGTACCTTCTCCTGGAAACATTTCAGTCTGAAGCTAAAAGGCTGTAGCATGCTTGCTCCCTTTACAACAAACTGTTTTGTGTGTTTTTGGCCTCAACGCAAAAGTTTGCAGATGTGTCAATCCTCCACCAAAACTAGAATAAAACCCAATTTCCACGAGCAGATCTGAATGTCACAGAATAGTCATTTGATTTATTTTGACTCAACTAACTACAAACCTTTCTCTCTTGTGTAAACAGGTATTTAGCCATCAGCTTGCTTGCCTCGCTGCATATATTCCACTTTCTTTCATGTCAGCTGCCAGATGATCTAATAGCAAATCTGCAGAATCAACAAACAACAATTTAGCATTTTTTTTCTTGGAAAAAGAAAGCAAAGATAACCGTCTGTGCAACATCAAAAAATAGATGCTCTGATATCGAGATACTGCTGAAAAAAAAGCTCCAGTGGGACTAACGAGCCCTTTAATAATCTGAGGGGAAACCCGACGCACTGAATGAGATTAAGATCAACACTTTACATGGGTACCTATAGATCATATATGTACTGTTTGTACCAAATGCCTCCGAGCTCTGAACATTGTGTAATGCTGCTGCCAATCATGTGTGAGCTCGTATAATCCCCACCTTCAGTGTACATGGAAAAAAAAACAAAATGCATGGTATGCCTTAAAGCAATAATACAGACTGTATGAAGCGGGATTCTTTGGGAAATTTTTGAACAATTAATATCTTACCTTTTGCAGAAGCTTTATGAATGACATCAGTTTGGAAAAAGTGACAAGCTAACAGCTAGTCATAGCAGAACCAGTACTAAGATGGAGTGATTTAAAGGCACGCTATGCAACTTTTTCTTATATTTAAATCAAGACCTTGAGCCAATATGTGCTAAAATGACCTTTTACAGGGTTAATGAAAAATCACTCAGACCCCACAGCCTCTTTTGGCTAGAACAAAGCCCTTCAGAGCATCGGACTGGTCCCTGTTAGTCAAGTGGCTAGCTGACATGTTAGCGCTACATTCTGCTTCCAGCTCTTTCCTGCATGTTTTAGATCATGAACACAACTGATTTATTTGATTTAGTGATTAATCACTCCTACAGAAACTGAGACATTTCAGCAGCTTGAGTAAGGTGTTAAAAAAACGAACGCACAGCAAGGAGAGTTTCACTTTTGGTTTTACAACAGTGAATTACTAACAGACACTAGGGGGTGCTAAAAGCAAGCTAAAGCTAAAATGTGCCTTTAAAATGATTTCAGTCTCTAAAATGTCAGATTAGTATTTGTGCATTAAACCTTTACATACTATCAAATATTATTTATAAAGAGTTTTATGGCTGTTTACAGCAGAAATTTGAAGCAAAGCTAGCTATCTCAGCACTTCTTGTTCAAAATGCCACATTTGCTGTGGGAATTTCATATTTTCTATACGAGTAAGTGTAGAAAAGTAAGTAGACCGCAACATATACTGTTATATAATAGTCTTCTCCTGAAGCAAATGTACTTACTGAGACTCAAGTTGTGTTTAGGCTTGACACATTCACTTTCCGCTTGGTGATGCGGCTCGCGGATGGAACGCACTTCACAACTTGCAGCGTTTATGGTTCATGCGGCTTGTCTCTGCGGTGAGCCAATATTCTCCCAAACTGTAGGGGGCAGTATGGAGCTCTACAGCATGCATCCAACACTACACCATAGTAGAAGTAGAAATTACTGTTGTTTACAACAGTTGTTAATGAAAGTTGAGCCAACTCAGCTCTTTTAGAATTGGCGGAGTGTTCTTGTTTCCACCAGGATCACCGCTTTTCCGTTTGTTCCCCTTCCTTGCCTTCACATATCCCTCATGTTTTTCCAGCATTTTTTAACAGCGTCCTTGTCTTTTCCGACAGTGCGAGCTATTTCGCTCCAAGAATTATTAACAACATGTTGATCACAGTGATCTTTGAGAGCTGAATCATACAAATGTCTGTATTTACGAACTCTGCCATAACTAGTTCTTGCCAGTCCACCAAGTTTTTCCGTGTTCGGCCGTCTGCGTGGTTAGAAAATTTCCTAGGTGCCGGAAAGTTTGGGCTGTGCGGAGGCCAGGTGGAGGGGCGTGGTTGTTAAAATGATGCAATTTTGTCAGAGCCGTGCGAACCTCGCGGACGCGTCAAGCATAAACCAACCTTCACTCGGCTCTTGAGAGCTAATCTATTTCTCCAAACTGAGGTTGTTCTAAAAGCAAATAGGATTTAATTAGATGTTCATAACAAATTAGAAAAAACGACAACTTAGCTCTGTTCTGAGACACTTTGTACCTAATAACGATTTGACAACAAATATGATGTTAAAGTAATGCTCATCACTCTGTTGTTGCGGCTCACGTTCACTTCTGGTCAGTGCATGGGCTTTGGTGTTGCTTATTTTATCACAGGAAACAAATTTAGTGCAAAACTGTGCAAAAACCTCGCATTTTGGTGCAGTTTAAATGTGTTGCAAACTGTTTGGGCTGCAACAGGAAGTCTGTATCTGCAGAAAGAAAGGCCGCTTGTTTTCATGTTGCTGCTCAGTCTGGGTGTTTAATGCGCAAAGGCTCAGAGAAACAGTTTAAGGCTCAAAAAGTAAATACATTCATTCCATAAAAATAATTTAATTGCTTTTCTTTTACTCGGGGTTAAAGCACAAAAGAAGGATCCTGCAGAGGGACTCCAAAGCCACCGAGTAAAGTTAAAACAGCAGTGTGTTGTGGACCTACCATGTGTGTGTCCCTCTCAGAGGAGTAGAGTTTCCCGGAGTCCTGTCGGTGTTGATTTCCCTGCTCGTCTTCTCTCAAGACTTTCTCAAAACCTTTTCTTTATTAGGTTGTTGTTTGGGTCAGAAACACGTGTATGTTTCACTAAGGGACACACACAGGGCTGTTCTAATAACTTTGGTGCTTTTTTCAGAGAGCTGGAACAAACTGTAACACCGGAGCTGCAAGAGGAGAAGGAGCGGTTACAGCAGCTGAGCCAATGAGAGAGGAGACTGGGGGGCTGAACTACCCCTCCTCTGAAAAAGGGCTGAGCAACACACGATGACTGAGTCGCTGCTGTTTTATTCTGTTTGTTGGAAATTCAAGGCTCAGCCAGAAGACACAGCTGAGTCTCAAACTGGAGCTTAAACAAAAATAATTAAACAAAATGTTACATTTAAGTTAGATGGGAGGCCAAAGTTTTCATTACTGCCTTGCCTACCTACCTGAACAGCCTCAGTTTGGGGAAATAGCGTCCTATAAAGCTGTGGTCATTTTCTTGAACCCCTTTCAGATTGACATTCTGGAATATGTGTGGACAATTCAATCCGGTTTTTAACCAGAACTGTGTTTTCAGACATACCCCTTTTGTATCTGAACTTGGGGGATCAGACTTATGTTAAGCATAATTCTGTGCATTCGAAGACTCATAAGAGACCTGGATGATGAAGCTCAACGGTTAAAGGAATCACAGAAGCGGTGTGAAGCGCTCCGTCGCGCGTCTAGACGGTACCGAAGGAGGCGAGCTGCCATGGTTCGCTGCATGCTACAGGAGCGAGCTATCTAGGTGCGCACAGCGTCCCCTCCTCCCTGTCCGGAACTCAGCCTCACCAGTCTGAAGCAGCCACCTTGTCCGTAACAAGTCTGGACCTGTTACTAGGGGCGTCGTCCGGTTTAATTACGGAAAAGGTTATCCGGATGTTTGTATTCAGACACAAAGGTCTTACAGACAGAGTCCGGAACATTTCCATTTTTCATGGCCTGTCTGAAGGGGGCTTTAGATTCCTGGTTTTTCTGCCTTCTTAAGTGAAAACAGAAAGCTGAATGAAGGTGGTTTTTTCTGAGGAGGTGACGTGACTGATGTGTCAGAGCACCCATTTGCATAATAAAGTTGGAAATGGAACAGTGACTTCCCGTTCGACTTGCTTTTGGAAGTGACTGTGTTTATAATCCATTAAAGAGGATATATTATGATATTTTCCCTTAAGATATAATAGTTCTATGGTCAATGGTTCATGAGGTTCTTAGCATAAAATCACTCTCAACAATTACAGCAGCTTTATTCTTGACATTTTCAGTACCTTCCAGAATTAGCCGTTTCAGGGCACTGTGTCATGGTCTGTGTCTACGTCTCCCCTCATGTGTCTCCTTGTGTTCTCCATCCCTCTCTAGGTTCTCCTTTGTGTCTCCTAGCGCACTCACGTGTCCTTGTCTGCGTCTTCCTCATGTGTCTCCTTGTGTTCCTCATTTGTCCCCAGATCTGCAGCCCCCTAGGTTTCCCTCCCCAGGTATCCCCCTCCCAGGTCCAGTGCTCCCGTGGTCCCCCATAGTCACGCACCTGTAGTTTTTCTTTCTGTAGTGTTTTTCTTTAGTTTTCAGCTGTTCATTTTATTAGTCTCTTTAGTGTGTTTTTCCCACCATTGTTTGTGGTTTTCCTCCCCCTTAGAATATTAGTTATGTTTGCTGCTCTTCTTGTCTTTAGGTTTTACTCTTAGGTCATGTCAATTTCCTCCCTGATTAGTTAATTGCTTTCACTTGGTTTCTCTCCCCACACACCTGCAGCTCATCTCCCTCTCATCCTCCCCAGTGTATAAAACCCTGTCTGTGTCTCTGTGTTTTGTCGGTCCATTGTTTGTGTCAGCGTTGTTTTGTTCCCCTCCACTTGGTCTCTAGGTTTGTGCTCTCTAAGTGAGCTTCGGTCTCCAGGATTTAGGACATTGGTTTTTTGGCATCCTGCCCTTTTGGATTTTTTGTTCCCATCCAAATAAAGGGATTTTACTTTACAATTCGCTCCTGCCTCGTGTCGTCTGGTGTTTCTGCATTTTGGGTGCAAACCTCCTCCTGGCTCACATCGTGGCACACTGTCACTTTAAGAAAACAAGCTGGAGCTGGCCACGCCCACCGACCCCCAACTCAGGCTGCAATAAGCTGAGAAGCTCAGATATTTGGGAGGGGCTCGAAGAAGGGCTGCAGCTCTTCCAGCTCGAGAAGTGATTTTATGCTAATTTTCTCATTTGTGACATCACAAACAGGGACTTTTTGAAATTGTTTCTTTTAGGCACACAATTCCTAAAACCAAGCACTGACAGAAAATGAATAGACAGATGTTTTCTATGTTTGGAGAGAATATAGAGGCCGTAGAGACCCACATTGCAGTACTAAAGAATGCAAAAGGTGAGTTTTGCATAATGTGTCCCCTTTAGGACTTGCAGCTCATTTTGATAAATATTACTTTCCTTTCTCTACATTCTGCCCCTGCTGTATTTGTTTGTGTGCCGCAATCAGACACTCTACAAGTGCAAACTGTTCCAACCTGCTTCACATCAAGGGTGTGTTTCTACCAGCATGTAATTGTGCTGTTTGCTTTGCAAATCTGACATCTAGACAGAGCAGATAGGAGTTATAAGGGAGCAACTTGCACGTGTGCAGCACAAAGATAGTGATAGGAGTCAGACTTACTTAAAAGTTCTGTGTAGGTTAGTACTTCACACCAATCTGAGCAGTTTTTTTTTGGATAGTTTTGTTCTTGGTTCTTTGGTCTTTTCCTCCCTCTGGTGTCTGAATCAGCTGCTGTGCGGGTTCTCTCCATGCTCACTGAGTACCCCATGTAGGTGTTTCTCCTCATTAGTTTTATGAGCTCAAAATAAAAACATTTACTTGATGTATTCCTTTTAAATTTAGTTCATCTGTATGGTTCATGACATTTTGTATAAACAGCCTGCTGCACTGCATTCCTAGTGTGTTGTGCTGTCATTTCTGCAGCTAATAGAACAATTGTTTGAAAACTAACTCCTGATGTATCCAGAATTCTTTGAATTTCCCTTGATATGATTTGAGTTACTTCCTCAATACCAGCACTTACCAAGGTTAGAATTTTGTGTCAGCAACATGAAAGCATGGATAAATCCTGCCTTGGATCAATGCTTCAAGCTGATGCTGGTGGTGTACTGGTGTGTGGAAGATGTTCTTGTCCCACTGTGGACACCTGAGCCCGGTTAAACACCACAGCCTACCTGAGTATTGTTGCTGACCAAGTCCATTCCTTCACAACCACATGGACCCATCTTCTGATGACTACTTCCAGCAGGATCATGCACCACGTCACAAAGCTCAGAACATTTCTAACTGGTTTCTAGAACACGACCACGACTTCACTGGACTCCAACGACCTCCACAGCCACCAAATCTCAGTCCAGTCCAGAAACTTTGAGATGTGATGGAATGAGAGATTCTCATCATGAATGGAACTGTGTGATGATGTCATGTCAACGTCAACATGGACATATGTTTTATATTTATGTATTTAGCAGACGCTTTTGTCCAAAGCGACTTACAAGTGATAATCGGCATGTTGCCCTTGAGGCTAACAACAACAATAACAACAACAACTTGACATCAATCATGGAGAGTAGGGAACAAGGAGTGGACAGTAGGGGGGATGGGTGCAGGGGGGATGCTAGTTAAGAAGATGCTCTCTGAAGAGCAGGGTCATCAGGAGTTTCTTGAAAATTGAAAAGGAAGCCCCTGTTCTGGTAGTGCTTGGTAGGTCATTCCACATTTGTGGAACGATGCATGAGAAGATTCTGGATTGTCCTGAGCGTGGTGTAGGCACTGCTAGCCGACGACCCTGTGATGACCGGCGCAGCTGGGCCGAGATGTAAGCCTTTGCAAGAGGATTCAGGTAGATGCAGGGCCAGATTAACACTTTGTTGTACCCTGGGCAACAATATTCAAGGGCCCCATCATCACGACCCAAGGATCACCATTATATGGTCACATACAGAATATTTTACTGTAATATGCAGTAAATATACTCAATACGTGAATGCCTGACATCACGTAACCCGCTCAGGGTAACCTTTGACCCACCTTGTGTGGACTGACCAATGAGGAGAGGGTCTTAACTTGAGGCCCTCTCTTCATTGGTCAGTCTGCATGAGACTGACTCTCAACTGATGTTCAGTCACAGGCAGCGAAGCGTCTCTTTGCAGCGCAAAAGCCCGGGTGGACAGTTTGTTTAGTATAGGGTGACCATATTTCCATTTCCAAACAAGAGGACAGGGGGTCTGTGCCCATGACGTCACACTATGGCAACGCCACACAAACCACGTTGGGACCATTGACGTAAATATATGGACAATGGGTTTCCATAGACTCCAATAACAAGTTTTTCTGCTAAAATGGGAGGTGGCCACCACCGCCATTTTGACAGTGTCACAGGTTCCGTCAAGCCCAGACAATTCCATAAAAGGGAAGAGAGGTGGAGCTGAGGGTGGGGCTGTAAGGCTGGGATCGACTGATGACACCCGTTCGAACTAGCTACAAGCTAACCTGAAGCTAACCCAAAGCTATTGCGGAGGTGGGAGCTAAGCTAACGGAGGTAGCAACCTAGCTACAACCGAAGTTAACTGTGCACAACACCAGAGCTTCTGAGTCAGAGATACGCCGGGCTGACCGCTGGGTAAAACCGGATGGAACACAGAGGTCTCCGAGACCTCCACAAGCCGGTAGCCGCACAGCAGACAAGAGCCGCTGTGATCTGAGATGTGAAGAGCTGCCGCTGGGGAGAACCGGGTGGAAAGGTTTCCATCCCAGAGCTCCACAAGCTGGCAGCCCACGCAGCAGACAGAGATGCGCCGAGCTGAGGGGAAAAGTGGTGTATTTTGGCGGTTCTGGCTTGCCATAAGAACCAGCCGTCAGCCTGCGCAGCTAACAGAAGCCGCGATCAGATGGACCGGGCTGCGGGGAGGGGATAAGGGCGGAAAACATTGGTCTCCCGAGAGCTCCACAAGCCGATAGTCGGAAACCAGCTCCACCAACATGTTATATTTCAACCCATTTTCTAAAGTGCAGCATTATGTTAAATGCACTGGGTTTTACCCTATTACATTTAAATTTCATGGTTAAACAGTACATGTTAAAATCTAAGCTCAGCTCGGCAGTGACCTAAAATACATAAATATAATTTTACTTACCAAAAAAAAATGGAGTGGAGACTCCTTGGACGCTCTATTAGTGCAATTAATGCCACAGCAAGTCATTTTGTCCAACAATTGCACAAAAAATATCCAAAAAAGAATACACAAACACAGAGACTCAAAATCCCGGAGCAGTTTCCAAGCCAGACCGAGGCTCTACTGAGGCCTTTCCACGGAGCTAGCTCTGTGGTCACGTGGGTCTGATGCTCATTAATTATACAGAATTTTAGGCTTTTAATACACGTAAACAGAAGAGTGAGAAAAAAATTCACCCCCTCAGAGTTGTCATGAGTGTAAACTAGATCATTTAAACCAAAAACATGTTTTGGTACCAGGCTGTAAACATGTTTATTTCTGCTGTGAAATTGGTATTTTTAACATGGGAGTCAATGAGGATCTGCTCGCTTCTGACACCAGCCCCCAGCGGATGAGGGTGGAACTGCATTTTGTTTCATTTCTGGGTTTGACTCAATTTCAGAGCTGCATTGTGGGGGCCTGGTTGGGACCCATTTTTTGTAAGAACTAAATATCAGATTCTGCCAATAAAAGGGTTCTAAAACAATTCATATGTAAATATTTTGCATATTTATTGCAAAATCTAATTTTTCTGCTTTAGTGCTGCAACAAGGTTGTATTAATAATAAATTATTATACCTTTTGTTTTACTACAGCATCGGTAAGCTTCCTGTGCACAGATTATTAAGGATGCATGTTTCAGCTGTGAGATTAGACGATAGGATCAATGAAAAAATAAGTTGTCACACACTCCATGGAAACTTTCAGAGAATCCACAAATAGTGGCTTTCAAATGGTTTTGTTACTTTTTGCAAGTTTAGAAAAGAAGCAGATCAGACAGCATGTCTGATAGTTTAGTTTTTCATCTGATAATATTAGAACATGTCAGTAATGTCTGAGGAGCTTTTATAAACACTGTATAACTAATACTCCTGGAGAGGGTATGAATTACACAGAGGCTTCTGGGGAGCCCAGTTATGGGGGGGTGGGGGTGGGTGGGGTCATTTAGCCTTGGTCCCCAAAATGTCTTGAAACGGCCCTGGGTGTGTGACTGAGTTTTGAAGGTGATCTGAATTGTATCAGATGTATAAATATTACATGTGTGTAACTTATTGTTTTATACAGGTAAAAACGTGTAGTGGAGATAAATCTACCTACATTTTACTTTTCAACACTTTGTTTTGTTTTCTTGTTTTTATTTAACTATTTCCTGTCCTGTCTGTCTCTCATCTTCCTGCATCTCCTCTAAACTCTCCAGAATAACCGCTGCCTGGATTCTTACTTTTTCACCTCATCAGTTACTTTTGAGCAGATCAAAGGGATCTCCTGACCGTAAAGCGGAGTGCGCGTTTCGATGCTGCGTCAGTGAGGTGAAATCACCGCAGCCCAGGTGATGAGCTCCGCAGTAGCAGAGAGCTTCAGGCACAAATAAGACAGAAAATAGAGAACGTGTGCGGACACGAACGATCGTGTGTTAATTATAGTTTTTTGGTTGCGCCACTTTGAGAATGGACCGTGCGCTGGACGCAGCTGCCTGGAGCGCTGCGCAACAACGATCAGCGCTGTGCCGCTCTCTGCTCAAAAGAGTCCATAAATGATATAATATGGGTAGAAAACTTTTTTCCGGGTCCCCTGGATGTGTAGGATATACAGCTCCCCCATAATTCGATCCCTGCTCCTGGATGAAAAACCGGACATTTTCATCAATACAAGAACCCCCAGTCCGCACGCCCCGGACAGAGAGTGAAAAGTGGACATGTCCGGGGAAAACAGGACGGTCACCCTAGTTTAATATAAAGCGGGAGATTACAGATACAGTATTTTGCTCGTGCCCTTGCTGCCCTGGGCCCTTTAGAGTTCGTGGGCCCTGGGCAATTGCCCAGTTGCCCATATGTTTAATCCAGCCTTGGGTAGATGGGAGCCGTACCGTCTCGGACTTTGTATGCTAGTGTTAGCAATTTGAATTTGATGCGTGCTGCTAGCGGTAGCCAGAGGAGCTCAATGAGCAGAGGGGTGACGTGTGCTCTTTTTGGCTGATTGAAGGCCAGATGCGAGACTGCGTTCTGGACCATTTGAAGAGGTCTCACCGTACAGGCTGGAAGACCAGTTAGAAGGGCATTGCAGTAATCGAGGCGGGAGATGACAGTAGACTGCACCAGGAGCTGGGTGGCATGTTGTGTTAGGTATGGTCTGATCTTTCGTATGTTATACAGCGTAAAGCGGCATGAACGAGCAACAGAGAGTTTTAATGGCGAAAGGGGTTAAACTCTGAGTTTGCAAGGTGTACCTACAAAAGTAGTCCACGATTCTGTATCGATAATAATAATAATTCTACACAAAATGATCAAAAATCGATTTGGATCTCATGGTTGGCAACACATTTTGTGCATGACTGTTGTGTAAATGACCAAAACAGAAATGCTTTAATGCTGACACGACACAGGTTCTTTGGAATGATTCCTATCAGATATGGGGATGAAACGGACTGCACAGTGGTGCCGCTGGGAGCACTGTTGCCTAGTAGCGAGAAGGTCCTGCGTTAAAATCCCAACCTGGGGTCTCTTTGCATGGAGTTTGCATGCAGTAGTTCTCTATGGGTACGCCAGCTTCCTCGCACAGTCCAAAAATATATTTAAATTGTCCGTAAGTGTGAGTGTGTGCATGCATGGTTGTTTGTGTCGCCCTGGCTGACTGGCAACCTGTCCAGGGTGTACCCTACCTGTTTGCCCAATGACTACTAGAGATGGATGCTAGTTCTCTGAGACTCTACAACAACAAGCAGGCATCAATAATGGATGAATGGAGGTGAATCTGCACATGTGCACATGTGTACACTTTCATTTCTGCCTAAAACACGCAAAACGTTTGTAGCTTGTGCAAAAGTCATTGCTGTAATAAAGCCACAGGATCAGATTGACCAAATGTCACCACTGACCTGCAAAGCATCAGCCGGTTTAACTGTTTCATCCTGCATTTGCACACAAGAGCACTCTATAAACAATATGATTGATTTGATCATTTTTTCGGAACCTTCCCGAAGCTTGACAGAAAACTGGTTGCTGACGATAAAAGGCTTTGTTATGTTTTTTTTAAAGGGATAAATCTTGTTCTGTCACTGCATGTGGTTTCAGTACCAGATTCCTACCACGGATGATGGAGTGACACATCATCAAACTATGTCCTCACGTTTCTCTCATTTAACCCTCTCAGGCTCAAAATAAGTTTTGATAAAAGGACGAACAACTAAGTCCTTCAGGGGTACTTCTGAGTTAAAAAATGCTCATGAAATACGTATGTGGAGTAACCAGGTAGGTAGGTTTTAACGTTGCAAATCTGCAACGCCTGCCTCCAGAGGGTTAATGACAGAGTTCAGCAAAACAGACAAGTACAAATTAACTAAGAAAGTGAGTTTTCCCCATTTAGAGAGTACATGTGTTTAAAGAAATGTGACAGTAAGAAGTGACAACCTGTACATTTGTCTCCTCAGAGCAAAATGTGTTTGTTTAAATCATCAATACTCAGCTTCCTTGGATTTAGGTCTCAATAAATTGGAAGGGTCATAGGCAGATGACACCTAAGCCTCTCACAAGGTAGAAGGAACTGTCAATAACATTAAGAAAACCTCAAAGGTGTGTGTGTGTGTGTGTGTGTGAGTGAGAGAGAGAGAGAGAGAGAGAGAGAGAGAGAGAGAGAGAGAGAGAGAGAGAGAGAGAGAGAGAGAGAGAGAGAGAGAGAGAGAGAGAGAGAGAGAGAGAGAGAGAGAGTAAAAGCAGCACAGACTGACAGCAGGAGAAAACTTGTTTTTCCCGTTTTGACACATAAGAGGGCAGGACGTCCTGCTATAAACAGTTGAACTCAGAGCAGGTTGGAGTTCGCTGGAGGTCGGTGTCTCAAACAACATCAGCAGGTAAAGAGATGAATTCTGATTAAAAGGAAAAAAACGCACGTTTAGTGTTTTATTGTGAGCATTAGAAAAAGAAAGAGAAATGAAATGCATCACTTCACAGTTTCATTTTGCAACTCCTATTCTTTCCTTTATTATTAGCTTTTGTACAATTATTAATCATTTCAAAAGGGATTTGTGAATTTGTATTTCATAAAAATGTAATTCAGCCTGAAAAGTTCTTTCAGAGTCGATTTCTATGTCGCTGAAAAGAAAAACAGGAATTTTGACGGTAAAAGTTACAGTTTAATGAGCTGGCCTTTCTGTTTGTCTAATACAGTTTCTGTCTCAATTTTAATGGGTGTGTTGATGATGTACACGGCACCTGTTGAAAGAGGTGTTTCCTCTTTCGTCTCTATTGTTTGTGACATTTGTCTGCATTTGAGCACACCTAAAAACACAATACAGATTTTTGGAAAGCAGCATCATGGAGCTTTGGGGTGAACATTTCTGTCAGCGGTACATTAAACAGTCACTCATGTAGTCAGAATCTTTCAAATGACATTTTATTTTATAAATATACAAAAAAAAAGCACAATATTAACTGCATTTGGTACAAATCACATGATTTACTGATTTGTATGTAAAATTAAAATAATTAGGAAATCTTTAATCAAATCCTGAATGATTTGGCATGAAGTAGATCATGCAAAGCCTCATTCAAAGCAAAACCTTTCCCCCCAAAATATTTCAAGGCTATGCATGAACAAAATACTCTCTTGTACACAGATGAGTGAAAATGAAAAGAAGAAACTTGATCTTTTGACCCTTGTCTTGTTAGGCTTTGGGGCTTTTTCCCTAAAAGGGAAAGGTCACCACCCAAATTAGCTCAGAGATCACAGTCTTGTCAGTGTAAAATATACCTTTTTTTGTTGATATTTTGGCCGTTTTAAGTATGTTTATGTGTGAAAATCATGAAAAATCTCATAGCTTCTGTTTGGAGAAATAGTCTTAACCCTCAGGCTTCATTTGGGACATTTTTGTCCATTTAGGGCAGGTTTGTTTTTCTTTTTGACGCCATTTTACCACCGTTTGTGCATATAGTACGAAATTTTGTCGCAACACATTCATGATGAATGAACAAGATGTTTAAATCAAATGTTTGAATAAGCTGTGCTTAAATCACATATGCTTATTTAACTTGTGAGTTGTAAAAGTTCACTTTTAATTCAGAGTGAGGTATCCAGCAGTCTGAGATAAGGGAGGAAAGGGCTTTTGTGGGAGACCTTGGCAGTTTATTTATGTCTGCGTTGAAGAAATATAAGTGAGCAAAAGGTTGATTTGTGCGTCTGGATCCTCCAGCCGGCGTAACCTTGATTCTGCAGCTCTGGCGTGCATGAAAGGTTACTGTGTCAATTCGATGGTGAAAATGGATCCTTTTTATTCATTACACCTGTTACTGATAAGATGGATTATTTACTAGAACAAACATCACCAGCAGCAACAAAACGTTGCATTTTTCACTGAACCTAATTTCTCACTTTTTCTGCCAAATGAATCATGAGATGCAAAACTGCTGTTGGTATTAAAGTCTATAAAACAACACATGAATGAGTAACCCTGAGATTTCAGAGATTTGTGTCATTTTGACCCTTCTGTTTATATTGTTCAACAGCTGGGTTTTTTGGGGGGGGGGGGTGTCACTTTCATAGTGGACCTTTTAATCCAAACATCGCCACCCGCTGGCTAGGTATGGAAAAGTCAACTTTTATTGTATATCACAAGATATTTTTTTTCATAAAACCAATGTTTTAAACTAGACAGTAAATTTTATTTTTCATACCTAAAAGTTAATAAATTATTAAATGTATCAGTTGTACATGAAAGGGTTCAGACAGCAGTAATCATCATGGTCTGAATGATCCCAACTCCAAAGCAGAGGGCTGCAAACCTGAAAGAGCTCCTGTAATAACCTTTACAACAGACTTTAAAAAAAAAAACAAAGGCAAAACAATTAAATGTTAGTTTCAATAAGTTACCGAATCATAGGTGTCTTCTTTCTGTCTTTGTGCACATAAAAAATTCAGTTTGCATCCAGATCTGAGGGATGTCTGCATCACATGATCAAGGGAGCTCCAGAGATGATTCAGGTGTCCGAGCTATGATCCCTGCTGGGCAGACGGTCAACACAGACCCTGGAAATGGTGACTTATAGCTAAAACTACTGGTTTCAATTTGTTTTTATTTATTTATCTCCTTACAGATTAGTGTATCTCATATCTATGCTTTAATGGGTGTGATTGTGTTTGGCTCAGATCACGGCACCAGCGGGGAGCCCACTGACAGATCTCAGGAGGACATAAACAGAGAAATTGTAAGCACTTATATTACTTACATCAACTTTTTTTTTTTTAATTTGTGAACAGATACAAAAAATAAGAATTACAAAATGAAGTTGTGAAAAGGTTAGATGCTTGCTTCATGGAGGTTACTTATTTAAATGTCTGTTGATGGGAAATATCCTTGTAGGACATCTTAAACCACTGCATTGAAGATCTGCAGAAGTTCATGTTACGCCTGCATCAGGCGTCTGAGGCCCAGACCGTTCTCAACCAAAGGAAAAAGAGGGGTGACAGGAAAAGCAAGAAAAATACAAACCAATGCGGTGAGAGTCAATTTTACAACACATCAATTCACTAACATGTGACGGTTAAAAAAAACACAAATAAAGTTTAGGTAAATTATGTCATTTTCAGATTCTGATCCTCTTTGCAGGAAAACTTTTCCAAATTGGTTTGATGTTTTAATATCCGAGCTGGTGAGCATAAAACGGACCGAAATTTATTAAAATGAGTTTCTGTAGATGGCTGTTGATTGCTAGCTTCTTGTCGGCTGCAGAAAAGACACAAAAGTTCCACCATTTCTCACAGGAGACAAGCCAGGAGGCACACAGCCCAAAAAAAAAAAAAGCCTCAGGCAATTCAGAGAATTTTGCTGCATCTTTGTTTCAGCATTGTTCCTGCAGGCAGTCCTGGAGTGCACTTTGGGTTGTTCTCTCATGACCTGTTCTGGTTTTCTTATTGAACTCTCCAATGTTTTACTGGATTTATCATGTAGGTTGCATGCATTTCTAGTTGTGATGGTGAAAAAATAACAAGACAAAAAAGGGTTTGAAGTTTGAGGAAAGAGGACATTTTTAAGTTCAGTGTTTCAAAAAGATTGGGACTCAAATTTGCTCCAAGTGTCGAATCATTAACCATTTGATGCATGAATTATGAAATCTTCAACCATGATTTTTAAAAATAAAATTTTCATTCATCTTTAGGTGTGAATGAAACAAATTTCAACAAATATGTTTTGTAACATTTAATAATTTACAAGTAATTTATTACATGTCCACCTCAGTGGACAGCGTGCATTCTGAACATAATTACTGAAGTCCAAATGGAGGAGCTCAAATGCAATAAAGTCTTCAATAGCTGTGCTTAATAGCAAAAATAAATAAATAAATAACAGTTTTGAGTACCTGTCCACTGTAGTGTGCATCAAAAAGTTAAAATGGTTAAACACAGTCCAGATTTGGACCCCCCCCCCCCCCCCCCCACACACACACACACACACACACACACCACCACCACCAC